TGATTCTGTAATGAAGGTTTCCAATTTCTCGCAATCTACATAGATCACTCAGAGTGGATTATCTGAAGACAACACTATTACCGCTAAATCCTCATTAATCCTCATTATACATCTCCATTTTATGCGTTCCTCCATAACATTGCGAGTACATTCTCCACAGTTCTCAGAATTGAAGGTTTTACTCACCAAACACAGGACTGCACTCTAAGGACGGGGGGAAGACGGCTCTTCCTTCCACAACTCTGCACCACTTATCCCACAGCACACTGTGTGCTCTGGAAATCTCTCCCCACTCTCCTGACTGCTCAGGTTCCTCTTCCATGAGTTCCCACTTTCCTGTACTGACAAAATCCACTCCCCCCACGTCACTTACCCTTCATTGTGAAGTCAAAGGGAATGTGTAGAGGATTTATACTCATTTCTGTTCCTTTTATTATGGTCAGCAGTAAAAAAGAAAATGCAATTTATATATATATTTATATAGGGATGCACGGATACCATTTTTTTCCAGTAAGAGTACCGATACTTTTCCTCAATTACTCGCCAATACCAATTATTGATTACCTTTCTTTTAGTGTCATGTGACAGTTTTTATAAAACAATACAGACTAGTTTCACTTTTTAACATTTTTTAGGACAGTGGTGAAGTGCCAGGGCCCGGTCCTAGCTGCAAACGTTGCCCCCCTAGTAGTTCTGCCACTTATTCCAAGCTGTAGAGGGACCGCAAATCTGAGCAATACATTATACAACAAAGCAGAATGCTACCAGCTATAGAGGACTACAAATCCCAGCAATACATTATACAGCAATGCAGAATACCACCAGCTATAGAGGAATAAAAATCCCAGCAATACATTAAACAGCAATGTAGAATATTATCATTAGCTAGAGAGGACTACAAATCCCAGTAATACATTATGCAGAATGGCAACCGGCTATAGAGGACTGCAAATCCCAGAAATGCATTATACATCAATGCAGAATAATATGAAGCTACATACTCTATGCTGCTCCAGGGTGCCAATCTGATGTCTCCAGCGGAGGATTTCAGGTCGCTGTTTGGTCTCAGGAGGGCTCTGCTGGTTATTAGAGGGCTGTGTAGGGTCTCAGGAGTCTGTGTGGGGTCTATGGTGGGCTGTGTGGACTCTCAGGCTGTTGTGCAGGTTCTTTGGAGGGCTGTGCAGACTCTCAGGGGGTCTATGCAGAGTCTATGGTGGGCTGTGCAGCCTCTCATGTGGCAGTGCAGGTTCTATGGTGGGCTTTGCAGACTCTCAGGTGGGCTATGCAGAGTCTATGATGAGCTGTGCAGACTCTCAGGTGGCAGTGCAGGTTCTATGGTGGGCTGTGCAGACTCAGGTGGCTGTGCAGTTTATATGGTGGGCTGTGTGGACACTTAGGTTGTTGTGCAGGTTATATGGTAGGCTATGCAGACTCTCAGGTGGGCTATGCAGGGTCTATGATGGGCTATGAAGACTCTCAGGTGGCAGTGCAGGTTCTATGGTGGGCTGTGTGGACTCAGGTGGCTGTGCAGGTTCTATGGTGGACTGTGCAGACTCTCAGGTGGCAGCGCAGGTTCTATGGTGTAATGTATGGGCTCTCAGGTGGCAGTGCAGGTTTTATGGTGGGCTGTGCGAACTCAGGTGGCTTTACAGGTTCTATAGTGGACTGTGCGGACTCTCAGGTGGCTATGCAGGGTCTATGGTGAGATGTGCAGACTCTCAGGTGGCTTTGCAGGGTCTATGGTGGGCTGAGTGGGGTTAATGATGGGCTGAGTGTATTCTCAGCTGGCTATGCGGGGTCTATGGTGGGCTGTGCTGGGTTAGCGGTGGGCTGTGCGGACTCACAGGTAGCTATGTGGGACCTATGATTGGCTGTGTGGAAGCTCAGGTGGCTATGTGAGGTCTATGGTAGGCTGTGCAGACTGGGCTGGGCTGTGGGGTTAATTGCTGGGCTGTGTGAGGTTAATGATCGGCTGGGTGGGGTTAAAGCTGGGCTGTGCAACTCTGTGCTGGTTGTGTGGGGCTAATGCTGGGCAGCTCTGTGCTAGGCTGTGTGGGGTTAATGCTGGGCTGTGCAGCTCTGTGCTAGGCTGTGTGGGGTTAATACTCATCTGTGCTGTGTTACCAGGGGTCCCGGTCGATCTCAGCGGGTGGGTGGGTGTGTGCAGTGGCGTGGAGTAAGAGGAGATTTTGGCATGCGTTAACAGAGATGCTGATGGGACTTTGTTGGTGACCTTGGCAGCCTTCCTGTGAAGCACTGTGCCTGTTTGCAGTGCCAGCTGGGGTTAAAAATTTAAAGCGCCAGTATCAGAGTTTGTATTGGGGCATTTTTATAAGAATGAACACTCAAAAACATGAACATAAATCTTGTAGTATTTTTAAAAAAAGTTTATTTTAGAAAGCTACAAATTCTTGGCCACAATGGCTTGTGAACTTTGGGGTCACTGCATACACATCAATCTAACATCTTAACAGCATCTCTCCTGTTTGAGTTGCTTTTGAACAGATCAGGTTAAGTTCATTAAAATGTATTACAAGCCACTGTCTTTTTACCCCTTTAAATAGTAAGGAGCGGGTTAAACCTGTCTGCCATCTGGAGTCCATTCGATTCCTTTTCTGGAGACATAAGAAGTAACAAGAAATCTCTCCATACAGCAGGAGACCATTAGTAGATGTGTGCTTACTAAGCACCAGATAGGGCCGGTGTATGTGGTCAGCAGAAAAAGACATGCAAGGTATAGGGCCACTGTATTATAGCCAACAGACTTCTTTATCAGACAAAAGGATATTATTAGTGTTAAGGTGGCCCTGTCACTAGAGGGTCACTTTGACTCAACAGGCCACCTGTAAAAGTAGAGCTAATATGCATATCATTCCAAAGACCCATATTTGAAAACCTGCCACATCTCTACTACCCAGCTGCTGCAAGCATTCGGCTGTCTGGATAAGTCAAATACTTGCTCCCCCCACACAGTGTGGTTCCTACTGCCAGCTCATACAACCTGTAGTAACATATGAGCCAAGATGAAGGAACCACCTTAGCATTTAGGCAACCCTTGAATTTCGACACGCCAGCCACTGGAAGGGTAAGTATATTACCTTTTCTTTTACAGGTGTCCTATTAAGTAAAGTGACCTTGTGGTGATGAGGCCACTTTAACAATTCTTGTATAGTGTGTGCTTACCAATCATCTCTCCCCAAAAAAAAAAAAAATATAGTCCCACCCTTCTACAAAAGGCAACAAAAATTATCCAATAAACAAAATGATCACCATAGTGTCAGAGTGACTAAAAGACATGAATGGTTGGTGGGGGCACATCAGGTACTTTTCCCCCATGTGACAAATATAAGCTCCATTAGATCAGTATGATGTGTAGTTGAATCTTTTTCCGAAATCTCATCATAGGGGATGTAAATCCTTCTTAGACAGTTGTTACTGAACAAGTATCCTTATTGGAAGGTTCCTCCTCTATACCTGTTCTGGTGGCAGCTCAGTATTTTGGATTTTCCTTCACTTTCAGCCCCAGTAATAACTGTAACCAGTGCAAACAGAGAGGGTGAATCTCCCAAAATGTCAGTGGAATGCTGTTTTTTGCTATTTCTTATTGCTTTATTAAAGAGCTATAAGGATATTTCCTTTAACCTCCTGGACATTTTTTAGACTTTAGGTTTTGCAGTATCACTGTTGTCTCAGGTGATATCTCTTTGGGTCATGTGGGCCTGCCACCCCTTTTCCGGCCAGAGCATCCCAGGTTGCCAAGAGCTATGCAGGGAGATGTGTAAGGGCCATACACATCTCCCTCCCAGCTCTTAACAACCAGGTGCACTCCGAAGGATGTCACTCTCACCTCCCAGCAACCAGTGATGTCACTGGTTGCCAGGAATTGAGTGGGACACTCTGGCCAGCATCCCATACAGCTCTTGGCAACCAGTGACATCACTGGTTGCCAGGAGCTAAGGAGGATGCGATGGACTACATCTTATTCAGCTCCTGGCAACCAGTGACGTCAGTGAGCTGGCCGGGATGCAAGCCAGATCAGGGCGGTGCACCACCAGGATGCCAGCCAGAGCACCGTTACCTTACACCCTAAGCACCCCATCCCTTCCATCACCCTGAGAACATGACCATCATAATCCCCCTGCCTTAGGCAGCGATTATATTAGGGACACCCTCAATCATGCTATCCACAAATTTTGGCTTCAGACAAATTTTAAAATGAGCTACACTAAGAACACAGCTATGACTTGTCTCCTATGCGAGTCTTTTGGTATTGAGTAAGATCTAGCCCATTCTAAACATCTACATGTTTTCTCTTCTGCGTAAATGATGATTCTCTAAAAATAATTGAATTGTGACTGCAGTTTAAAGGAGTAGCTGCATTTCTAACAATGGTCAGTGATATCTGTAGCTCTGAGCAGTTTAAAAACGTCACAGTCAAGATAGGGATAGGACATTATTCTTGCTTGAAACATCTAATGTTAAAGCTGAACTACATCCTATCTCTTCGCTTATGTGCAGTCCCACAACTGATTAAGGGGTGAACCCATCTTCCTTCCAGGTTTGGTCTCAGAAACTGAACCTGAATGAGGGATCTACTAGGGATGTGCCACAGTTCTGACAAGGAACAAGCTACTGGAAGGACTGTGGAGACCTCATCAGTCTTCTGCTTGCCCTTTTACTGTTCAGTCACAGGGCAGGGGTGGAGAGGTGACTAGACTGTACTGCTTAAAAGCATGTAAAATGTACTCTCTTTCAATGTTGTCTGCCTGGAGTTCAGCTTTAATTCTGTGTTGCATTTGTGAAATTCACAACACGTGAACAGTTTCTATCTCATGTGAATGCTCTGATGAAAAATGATATGGCTTTTCTCCCGTGTGACTCTTTTGGTGTCTAGTAAGATTTCCCTTTTCAGTGAAGTACTTGTCACATTCTGAACATCTAAATGGCCTCTCTCCAGTGTGAACCCTCTGGTGTTTGATCAGATCTGATTTGGCTATAAAACATTTATCACATACAGAGCACGGGAATGGTTTCTCTCCTGTGTGTACCCTCTGGTGTTTAGTAAGATTAGCCTTTTCTGTGAAGCACTTGTCACATTCTGAACATTTAAATGGCTTCTGACCTCTGTGCGTCCCCTGGTGTTTGGTCAGATTTGATTTGAACCTAAAAGATTTATCACATTCAGAGCACACATAAGGCTTCTCTTCTGTGTGAGTCTTTTGGTGTATACTAAGATGTGACTTTTCTTTGAATCTCTTGTCACATTCCAAACAACTATATGGTTTCTCTCCAGTGTGAACCCTCTTGTGTTGAGTAAGATTTCCCTTTTCTGAGAAGCACTTGTCACATTCCGAGCATTTAAATGGTTTCTCTCCAGTGTGAGTTCTCAGGTGACCAATAAGAATTTGCTTCCTTGAGAAACACTTGCCGCATATAACACATCTGTATGGATTCTGCCCTGTGTGGACCCTCTGGTGTTGGATCAGCTCTGATTTGGACCTAAAATTTCTATCACATTCCGAGCACAGATATGGCTTCTCTCCGGTGTGAATCATCAGATGATTAGTTAGACTTGCCCTTTCGGTGAAGAACTTGTCACATTCTGGACATCTAAAAAGTTTATCTCCCGTGTGAATCTTCTGGTGCTTCCTAAGACCTGACTTATCAGTGAAGCACTTGTCACATTCTGAACATTTAAATGGTTTCACTCCATTGTGGTTCCTCTGCCGAATAACCAAATGCTCCATGACTCTGAAGGATCGGTCAGGTTAACAGAAAAAAAAATGGCTCTTCTCTTGCAGAACTCATCAGTTGGTGATAATCTTCTTCACTGCTCAGCTTATTATTCCACCTATAGGGAACATAAAATGTATTTTAGACTCATAGACTGTTGACAGCCGAGTCCTGCTGACTCAAGCTCTGCTTGGTCCTGCAGGTGCCACCTGCCTCAGCAAATGAGGAAAGTAGAAGATTACTGGCCAATCAGCTGCAGCCACTGTTCAGGTGTTCAGACAGTGTCAGGTTACCGGTGACCCAGCAACGAAGATTCCCACATCCACATGGTTTAGCATGGATGGTGGAATCTTCATGTGTATGGCCAGCTTACATTTTGGTAAAACATGTAACAGTTTCCAACTGCCGGTAATTTCAGAATTACTGAAGATAATCCTAAATTATGGGTACAAGATAACCTTTATCACCTTCCATTATCTTGCCTCAAGATATCCAGACTACACATAATACATTCAGGTTACCCTGTACGAGAGCTTATATGGCACAGAAAAAACAATGACCAGTTAGCATTAGTTGTTAGTTTATCCAAATTATGACTATTTATTAAATAGTAAGGTTCAATTATTTGTCCTTAAAAAAGGACATTTCCACCTTTGTAAGTGATTTTGAGTTTTTGGTGGTAATGGGGAGGTGCAGGGGGATGTATATGTGTGTGCATTCTTAGGAGTCACAGGGCTGTCTTTCATACTTTTATAGATTATTTTACAGGCCAGAGACCTAGAAGTTCCAAATTCCCTCCACAATATCTTCAATCCATCTCTCTGAGGGTCCGGTTGTTATCTCTAAACTGCAATCAGCTGTTTTCCCCTCCCCCTCCCCTCCCTTCTCTGTGGAGAGACAGCAGGATGAGTCATAGTTCTGTGTGTCTGTGTGAGTGTTAGGACACAGAGAGAAGACTACAGAACAGGACAAGTAAAAGGAGATTCTGTGTCCTGTGTCTCTCTCAGATCTCCCCCTTATCCTGGGTCACATTTACTCTGTGCTAAACAAAAAAATTCCCCAGCCTCAACCTGCCAGCCGGCCTGCAACCAAACAAGTAGCCCTGTCAACATTATGCGTTAAAATCAGAGGTTTTATAGTTGAGGCTGGGGAATTTTTGTGTTTTGTATTGTTGTAAGCCTTCCCAATGTGCGCCCTGCTATAAAGGCCGGTTATAGATTCATGCATGTACCATTTTTTCTAGATTTACTCTGTGCTGCCCCAAGTCCAGGTTCCTCAATGTCCCCTCTCCCCTCCCCCCACCATTCTTCTCATTTACAGATATGACTGCTAGAACAGATAAAGACATTGTGAAAATTGATCAAAATTGGATCAATGAGAGAGAGAGAGAGAGAGAGAGAGAGAGAGAGAAGCTGATTGGCTGCCATGCACAGCTGATCCAGTTTTTGCCTGCTCCAGTTTCGATAGATCCCCCCTCTGTGCAGTGTCACCGGGGATGTGCGGCGTCACTGGAAATTGTTTGGCGTCACCGCACATGTGCTCTCCGCACATCCCTGGTGACCCCGCACATGCCCGGTGACACCATACAATCTCTGGTGACCCCGCTTATCATTGCTGACCCCGCACATCTCCGGTGACACCGCACAGTGTGGGGATCTATCGAAACTGGAGCAGGCAAAATCAATAGCAGCTGTGCATGGCAACCAATCAGCTTCTCTCTCATTTTCAAATCTTACCTGAGCAAACTGGAGAGAAGCTGATTGGTTGCCATGGGCAACGGCTCCAGATTCTGTTCGCTCCAATTTTGATCAATTCCCCCCAATGTCTTGTTATCTGTTCTAGCAGTCGTATCTGTAAATGAGAAGAATGGTGGGGGTAGAGGGGGACATAAGGGAACCTGGATGTGTGGGGTGATCGGGGATGTGCAGGGTCACTAGAGATTGTATGGTGTCATAGGAGATGTGCGGGGTCACCAGAGATTGTATGGTGTCACCGGGGATGTGCGGGGTCACCGAAGCTTGTATAGTGTCAACAGGGATGTTTGGGGTCACCGAAGATGTGCGGAGTCACCGGGGATGTGCGGGTCACCAAAGATGTGCGAGGTCACCGGGGATGTGGTGGAGAGAACATGTGCGGTGACATGCTAAACCATTTTTTTTCCATTGACCCCACACATCCCCGGTCACGCCGCACATCCCCGGTGACACTGCACATTGGGGGGATCTATCAAAACTGGAGCAGGCAAAAACTGCATAAGCTGTACATGGCAGCCAATCAGCTTCTCTCTCTCATTTTCAAATCTTAACTAAACGAACTGAAGAGAGAAGCTGATTGGTTGCCATAGGCAACTGCTCCAGATTCTGTTCACTCCAATTTTGATCAATTCCCCCCAATGTCTTTTTATCTGTTCTAGCAGTCATATCTGTAAATGAGAAGAATGGTGAGGGGAGGGGAGGGGGGCCATTGGGGAACCTGCACTTGGGGCAACAGAGAGTAAATGTGACCCAGGTTAAGGGGGAGATCTGAGAGATCACTTGTGTTCTATAGACTTCTCTCTGTGTCCTAAAACTCACACAGACACACAGAACTATGACTCATCCTGCTGTCTCTCCACAGAGAAGAGAGGGGAGGAGGGGAAAACAGCCGATTGCAGTTTAGAGATAACAACCATACCCTCAGAGAGATGGATTGAAGATATTGTGGAGGGAATTTGGAACTTCTAGGTCTCTGGCCTGTAAAAGAATCTATAAAATAAAGTATGAAATACAGCTCTGTGGCTCCTAAGAATGCACACACATATACATCCCCCTGCACCTCCCCATTACCAGAGCCGTAGCTAGCTCCTTTTGCGCCCAAGGCAAGAAAAGAAAATTGTGCCCCCCAACAGACGTGTTATGTCACCCTATGCCACGCACGCACGGCGTCATGTGACGACATGCGCTCCGCCTCCAGGATGGCAGCACCAAATAGCATAAAAATTTGTTTCATTTGACGAAACTAATGAAAACTCAAAATCACCTACAAAAAAGGTGGAAATGTCCTTTTAAAAAGGTAAAAGAAAAGGCCACAAAACTTGTTGCATTCATGTAAACAGATTCATAGGGGTGACAATCTCACGCCTTTGACATTAGCAGACACTGCTGGCCATCAGATATCGGGAGAAATAATTATCTGAAAGGGTAGAAAAAAAACTTTTCCAATCAATATTGCTTTCCCACTTATATTCCAGCACCCCCCTCATCTGTATAGGCCAAACATTTGCATTTTTCTATGTACCTGAGAAAACCAATGTGCTTGAATGCCAAACCAATGTCTATCGAGACCTTTTGGATTGGTTCACAGTTTCACAGCGCAAACTGTTGGCGCTATATAAATCCTGTATAATAATGATAATAAATAATAATGTGAGTACCTCTATGCTAATTCCAAATAAAGTTAAATAAATAGATAGTTACTGTATATAGACAATGTCCTGATACCCTCACTTTTCCTTTGTAATAGCAGGAATGCGGGTTGTCCGGATATTACCATGCACACCAACAGGTAGCAGAGTTTAAACCAATGCACACAGTAATCAAACAGTCCAGGTCTGGCAAGTTACCTACCTATAAAGAGAGAAAATGGCATGAGCCTGTGCTTGTGCTTTAAATGTGACTGCAGTGGGTACAGCTCAGAGCACAGACCTGACATGCTGAGATGGAGTAAGTCCTGTGTGCATGTGTGGGAGGTACATCATCGGGGCCCAGCCAATCAAGCTACCATGAATCAGAACACAAAAACCATGGTGAATATGCAATCTCCAGCGAGGTAGGAGATTGCTTTGGCAGGCAAGTCTGCAATTATGTGCTAATGTGCTGTGAATACTACACATTATGTCTATGGGCAGAATAGTGGCTTAGTGGTTCTGCCTTGCAGCACTTAGGGTGCCTGGTTTGATTGCTAGTCAGGACACTATCTGCAGTGAGAGTTTGCATGTTCTCCCTGTGCTTGCCTGAGTTTCTTCATGGTACTCCAGTTAGGGCTGCCATCTTTTCTTTTTAAACAGCCCCGATGCTGGCGACGTACACTGTACGTCGTCAGTCACGAAGGGGTCAAAGCCGAACACTCTTGCGCTGCGTACAGCAATTTTTTTATTTTGGGGGGAGAATATAGTGGAGAGAGCATGGAGAGGCAGTCAGGAGAGAGCATGGAGAGACAGCCGGGGAGGAGGTAAGGAGACCGGCCATAGAGAACAAAAAATCCCAGCAATACACAATAATATGAAGCTACATACTCTGTTGCTCTGGGGTGGTAGCCTGATGTCTCTAGGATCTCATGTGGCCTGTGTGGGCTCTCACCAGGCTGTGCGTGCTCTCAGGAGGACTCTGCAGGCTCTCAGGTGGACTGCACGGACCCTCTGGTGGGCTGCGCAAACTCTTAGGTGAGCTATTATATGTAAATAGAGCTACCCATTCATATGTAAATATCGTAGCCTAGTCTATTTTTCAGTGTAGGGCCAGTAGCCCATATCTTAATTTTGGCTGCCCCGGTCTGCCCGACATGTTTCCGGGTTTCAGCTGCTATGTAACCCAGATACAGCCTTCAAAACCCGAACTGTCTGGGTCAATCCCCAACAGGTGGCAACCCAACTCCAGTTTCCTCCCACACTCCAAAAAACATGCTGGAAGGTTAATTGGCTCCTGTATGAGTTGGCCCTGTATGTGTCTGATCGGACCTTTGATTGTAAGCTCCTTAAGGACAGGGACTGATGTGAATGTGCACTATGTAAAGCGCTGCGTAAATTGTTGGTGGTATATAAACACCTAAAATAAATAAAACGCCCCAGGTGGCTTTCTTTTTTTTCCTAGCCCTCACTTTACTTCTGCTTTAAAAAAAACTCTGATATATAGAATTCCTCTGGAAATCAAATTTCTTGACCCTGCTTTTCCCAAATCTGAACTCTACAACTTATTGAGCTTCAGTCATCCCCTGATACAGGGAAGTTTCATTTGTGAGCACATTTGCTCTGAGCCCT